CAATATGCCTCTCCCGAGCTGCCACTGGGACCGAGGGTGCTTAGGGTGACCGGTGGTGCGGGGGGGGAAGGGGCGCTTGGTTCTTCTGAGATACCTGGGGACTTGATCCCAAGAATCAGTAACTATCAACTGACTAAACCTCAACATCCTGAGACTTGAGGGAAGTCAGGCAACGAATCCTTGGACCCGACCTCGTGGTAGGTTTTGGATGGTTTTCGATCTCCGCAGGGTCCGCTATGCGATGTGCCATGCTCTTCGCTTTACTCATCCCCGGGGTCGCCCATCAGCAGCAGTTTCAGGAGGCCCAGGCTTCATCAGCGACAAGAAGTCTAATGTAATTATCCTCCCAATCAACATTCATAAGGGAAAAGATAAGTATAGTAAATGAAGTGATCATTGCAGTATGTGGTTCTTTCATTCCTTCATTCCTTGGAACCACCCTCTCCTTTATATACCATGTCACCCATCACTGCCCACAGGCCCACCACCCTCGGCCCGTCCCAGGAAGGCAGACCGTACCTTAGTGGCCTCAGCGGTCCAAAAGCACGTGAGCGCCCTGAGTTTCGCTGATGCACCTTGGCCCAGAGCTGGTGCGTGCTTGGAAGCCCAGTTTTTTCGGTGATGTGCAAAGGACTTTCCGGGTGATGTGGGATGAAGTGTTCCAGGTTTTTTGGGGGGGCACTGGTAGCATCTTGTAAGTTGAGAACCTGTTTCACAGGAGCAAACACACCTGAAGGAATGAGAATCTTTGAGACCAGTGCAGTGGCCAGTGGCGGTCATTGAAGGTCTAGGGTCCTGGAAGCGTAAGAAAGTATCTTGTCGTTGTTTTTCCGAATTCAGCACTCATACATGTCTATATATAGACTGATAGAAGAAGGAAGAAGAGATAAGATAGGAAGACTTGAAAACGTCCCCCCCCAGACCATGCATGCTCCAGGTCCAGACTGCCCGACCGCTGCAGCCGGTGTTCACTTTCACTTCCGCGAGCGAAGAAGATATAGGATGAACACATGGAACATCCAGAAGCCACTAGCTGTTTCAACAGAAACACCAATCCTGATGCTTCCTGGCCAGGCCAGGAAGCACCATTCATGCCTGCAACATCCACTTAACAAACACTGAGGGATGTTGCAACTATCATACCCGGTGAGTTGAGGTGTTCGTTTTCACCCCAAGTGGCTGACAGACTCCACCGACCTCGCTGACCGCCTCGACCGACGCGCCGTCGGAACGACCGCGCTTTGGTTTTGAGGAGGCGCTCCGTGGGGATCGTTCCTTCCTGGATCCTTGGCGGATGCAGAGCCCTAGAAATCCACATGAGCAGCGCTTTCCTAACCTCTCTTTACATTTTTGTTAAGAGCTTGTTCATAAGGAGGACTTCCCATACGACCTTTCAATCTATCAAGGTTTCCAGCACAGCTCACATACCTTCTCAGGTTCGGTACGACTGGACCCGTAAATAACAGTGTCGAACACATCACCGTACCGAAAAGAGGGTGGCAGTGGATCCCTAGGGCGGGTGACTTGGTGTGGCCCAAAGATTGAACAAAAAAGCCCCGCCAGAAGGCTCCAAGTAAAACTCCGTTTCGAAGGTGTTTCCAGTACGGGTATCTAATGGATCCAAGTGCTTTCTGAGAAGGTACTTGGAGGCCCTAAGAAGCCTAGAATGCTAGTAGACCCAAGGAGTTTGACACTTGCATGATCCTGCAGGTTGTTCATTCATGGTTTTTGGTTGCTACAGGGCCTTGCTTCACCTGGCTCATGGTCGACGTGTGCATACCCGATAGATATCCTGCGTAACAACTGGTGGTGTTGTACATCATCAATTAGCACTACTGGGTGGCTCACAGAATCTACATGGAAAGAGACAATTCCAAACGTATACTTTTTCCTAAGAGATCAACCGATTTTTGGACCATGTGACCTAACAACTGACGGTCAACGCTAAACCTGTGACCTCCTACATTCATGGCACTGGACATATACTTTTCCTAGGGCTCCAAGTACCTCCTCAGAAGGTATTTGGACCCTCTAAACCCACCCTAAACACCTTCTCAGAAGGTACTTGGATCCCTAGGGCTTTGTAATACTTATTGGCCTATACCCCATCTGAGGAGCCGCTCATGGCGAAGACGCCGCGGGTCTTGGGCTTTGCTTCGGAGAAGCTGCGGAGTGACAAGGACTACATGCGCCTCGGTGGTGTTCTTCAAGGATCGGGGCATGGGTCAAAATGAGACTGGATCGACTTGACTTCTGTATGCAGAATCAGAATATCATTGAAAGAAGGGGGGTTCCAATGTTCTATATTCCCTAGGGCTCCAACCATATCCTCAGAAGGTGGTTCCACCCCCCCAAACCCACCCCAACCACCTTCTCAGGAGGTGGTTGGAGCCCTAGGGATTATACATGTGGTTGACTTGGATGTTTCGTCCACCATGCAAGGATGTGATTTTAGGCTGTCAGAGGTGGGGGAGGGGCCGACCATGACCATCCCCCAAAAATACCTTCCTCTAGCCATAGATTTCTCCATTGCTCATGTAGTGCCTCCTGGTTTGGATTCCTGGACTACCTTCCCCAGATCGATGCCAACGGATGGTCCAGGTATAGGGAGACAATTGTTGATCTCCCAATGTACCTGGACCCGAGGTCGTTCGTACGCTCGAACATGGGACGCAACCACATGGGATGCAGGTCCGACTCTACTCATGTTGAGGAGTACAGTACTTTGAGGGTCTTGATATTTTGTTGGACAGATAATACTATTGAGCGAGTAGGGTAACTACATGTGGTGATCAAAGACTTGTCCAGCATTTGTTCAAGAGCCGGAGTTGGTAAACGAGTTGAACAATTCAACCAGCAAATATTGTGGTGCTTGAATCAGGCTTTGCAACACAAGCAAGCCAAACAACCTAAAGCTGGGGTGGTCAGCAGAATCTCCAAGTTTGGCAGAGATTGTGGCACCTGCTCACCTTAGTTGACCGTTGAAATTGTTGAACCCAGATGCCTATGGACCCGAACCAACTGCATGTGGGAGGTCAAAACATGTCAAGACCCTAGTGAACTGAGGGTTGTTTCTGAGCCTTGGTTGAAGGACATTTCTTCCAGACACCAGCTGCACTCCGGAAGTTGAGCATATTCAGAAAGGAACCACAATCCCGCCAGAATTTGTTGTCTAAAAAAACAGTTGCCCTTGGCGGGGTTTCACTTTGAGCTAAAGAGACTGGGAGTGCAAGCTTAAAGAGACACGGCGTGTCCGACGGCACCATCCCGGGTAAACAATTGGGCTTAAGCTCCATAACCGCTCCGGTGGTTTGTTGGGGAGGGAGACGGCTTAATCCTCCAAGAAGACCCACAAGACAAGGGTGGTCAGTGGACACCCCTTAACCTCTAAGGGGTTATTGATAGACACCCCTTAGGGGGTCCTGGAACATAGCCTGCAGTTGGTTTTTTATAGGTCTTGTTGTGAAGCATCTCGAGCAGCAACCAACAGTTTCCGTGACCGACAGGTACCACTGGATGTTACTTTGGTGTTCTTTTGGATTGGAATATGTTGGAGCCACTCCCCTGGATCCTCCAAAATACCTTTGAAAATTGGAGATGACCCGATGACCCACAAACAACAGGTACTTGTACCCATTTTCCGAGAGACTTTGAGACTCCAGGTACCAGGGTTTGGCTGTAGCTTGTTTGTGAAGCTGGCTGCAAGGTTCTCACTGATCCAAAAAGATGAGAACATGCTGCAGCAGCTTGGCTCTTTGATGGAGTTGTGCATAAACACTTTGAAGAAACACTAGTTACCAGGTGCCCTTTGGAATTTTGGTTGCCGCGTTGAGTTGCTGCAATCTAATAACACCTCCATGAACAGAATAGATGCGTCCCGTGGTCCCTTGGTCCCTATTTCAAGCTAGGATGCAGGTACAAATTGATCAGTCCAACAGGCAGTAGAGCGACAAAGACAATGAGTTTCTGCAAAATAATCAAGATCCTGTTTCTTCCAATGATCTCTTGATATCCCATAGGCACTCCAAAGAGGTCACTTTAAAGAAGCTGGATTTCATTCATCACTTTGAGGCCACTCAGGCTTCCACCTTGTTGGCCCTCCAACGAGGACCTGCAGGGCCTTCAGTTTGTGACCGAACTTGAGATCGGATGAGCACTGAATTAGGCCTTTAACGGTTCACTTAGAGGCTCCAAGGAGGGCACGAACTGAAGGTCCTGGCTCTGGATTGGTCACTTGTTAGGTGCAGTATCCTAAGAAGGTGGGTCTCCAGAAAGGCGATCCTCAGTGCTGCCACGTTCTTCACTGTTGAGGGATGGAAACTCAACAGCTCACTCACTCGGGCTCATCCCTTCCCTTCCAAGTTCTTGCTTCTTCCGAATTCACGCTTAGTGGGGCAAGATGACCCCCAAAAGTCCCAAAAGTGCCTGAAGTGCCGACCTGTACCCCCTTGCAGACCATGCGGAACCCAGTCAACAACAACACCACCCCTTCCCTTCCACTTCCATCCCCCCAAAACCCTCAGAGTCCCCACCTCGTGCCCTTCGCGACCGGGTTCCCCGTGCCGAACCGGAGGTACGCATCGGACGCCTTGCGCGCCGACCGAGACTTCGTCCTGAAGGCCGAGGGCGTCTCGATCCGTGGGGGGTGGGGAGCCCGAAAGGTCGGGTCTTGGCCCTCGAAATGCATGTGAGATGGGTGTATGATGTAATTGAAGTGAGATGTTTTCTAGATGCTGCTCAATGGCATGTTTATATGGGGTATTGTGTGATCTAAGTTTGAGGATCACACTAAGAAGACCTGCAATGCCGAAGACTCTGGCTTTGGTCTCTGGCAGCATGCCAGAATCTCTACGAAGACAAGTGTCCGATCGTGTCAACGTGCTCCTGGAGTCACGGTAACTTTAAGAGGGATCTATCTATCAAGAAAAACTGGACCCTCCAGCTAAAATAATCAGGGTCTTTGCTGTAGATTCTGATTTGTTTGCGAAGATTAACTTACCATGGATCCAGCAGGAGTGGGACCATCATTGCCGAGAGAGCTCAAGATGAGAGAATCAGAATGGAAGCACAATCTCAATCGAGTTTTTTTTTGTTTGGAGAAGTCGTGCTTGCTATTGGACCTGGATGGAACGCAGGTGCGCAGAATAAAATACCTCGGCCCAAAAGAACTGAGTATCTTTTGGCATGGAGCGTCATATCCGCTGCACTAGAAATAGAGCCTTCCAACGCGCGCCTTCGGTATCTCCATCTCTTTCGATCAGGGCACAGCCACTGTACCCTACGCAGCGAGCCAGTGCCAGAGTCGCTCATCGCCGCCCAAGTCCGGGAGGTGGTCAACATTAAAGGTGACGCGATCCGCCATGCGTGGCATACCTTGTGGGAGGCGGGAGAAGCAGAAGCCGAAAGGTGGGGGAAGGTGGCTGCTGTAGGATTGGGGAGGTGATATATCCCAGACAAACCCAATTGATGTCTGGACCTATACATTGATCCCTGATGGCCCACCCTATTTGATTGGTAGTTTGATTGGTAAATATGCCATAGGCCCATGGAATCTTTGGGTATTGACCTGGAGTCTCGGTCTTACTGCTTTTGTTGGTTCGGGTCATGTCCCATGGCCTTGAGGCGGCCTTGAAGCCTATATACCCAGACCATCCGGGTCTCCAATCTACTTATTTGTCAGATGAACAATTGGTGGATAAGAGTTGGGTCTGTCCTATTCCCTGTAACAGTTTTGAACACGGCCTTTACCAACCATCATCATCCATTGTTACGGGTCATGCAATAGACCCAAGATAAGATGAAACAACATCTTTCAGATGCTCTTCTCTTGCAACATGGACACCACCCACCTCACCCCGTCCGCGCGAGGATCATGAGTTGATCCTGGCGGCCGCGAAGAAGGACCCACGGGCCATCCGCCATGCCGGCAAGGCGAGGGGGTACGGCATGGAGATACCTGGATTCAGCCAGAAAGGCTGAATGTTTGCGTTTCATGGCAGATCCTGGACATGAACCATTTTGGACAACAAGTTAGGTGGCTGAACCCAAAATGATACGGTGCGTTCGTATCATGTTCTCGTGCTTGCTTGGATTTCCAGGCATCAGCTTTCACACACAAGTTTCTGAAAGAGCTTTTGACTGTGTCCACCATCAACCAACCTGCAGTTCTTGGTGTGGTGACCTATATGTAGAGGTGTTTGGGATGAGATACTGGAAGCACCTCGACTGTCTTCGTTGTTGGACACTTTCATGCCATGTGGATAAGTCTTGAGACCTGAAACGCCGGTGAATGGCGAGGACCTCCACATGTCACAGGGGTCCCTTGAACAATGCAGGGTCGGAGTGTGTGAGGAACCCCCGACTTGGTGGCCCATATCCATACACGAACATATGTTCATGGGTCGGACCTTGTTGGATGTGCATCTATTTCTTGCATACCATTTGAGACTCTTTTGATTGGCTTTTGATGGCTTTATGTTAAATCTATATCATGTATTTATCATATACTTATATATATAATAACTTACATATTATATAGATTCCAGCTTTGCGCCCACTTTCACTTCCTCAGGCGTCGTGGAACAACCGGGACTTCGTGCTGGGAATGGTCACCAAGAACTGGCGCGATCTCAGGAGCGAGGGATCTGAGCGGAGCGACGTCGACGACCGAGACGAACAGAAAAAGGGCCTGGAGGATGACGTCCGAGACGAACGGCCCACATCATGCTTTGGGTATCAAAAGAAACCTGGGATGCCATCTCTTTCCTTTCGTTTGTCTCTCTCCCCCACTTTAAGGACAACAGTTCCACACCAGGACGGAGCAGGTGTCGGTGTTTTCTGTTTGGAGGGTGGTCCGGAGATCTGGACACCGGAACCCTGGGAGACGTGGCCTGGACGAGGCATGCCTCGGAGAAGTGCCGCGGAGACCGGGAGATCGCCAAGGTGGCCATCCGTCAGGCGCCGGATGCCGAGTAAACCGGCCGGCGGGTTCGCGAACCAGACGGACGGCGCTTAACGGCGCTACGCGGAAGCCGAAGATGAGGGGAGAAAAAGCGGGAAGAAGAAATACACTGCACATGCAGAGTGCAGGGGGGGAAGGTTGTATTTATCAATGGTCATCATGGTGTTTGGGTGTGCAATCGTGAGGTGTTTGGGTGTAGAATTACATACCCCAGGGATCCAAGTACCTTCTCAGAAGGTACTTGGACCCTCAAAACCTACATAAGAGTGTCTCCAATCACCTTCTGAGAAGGTACTTGGACCCCTAGGGATAGAGCAACATATCCACAATTGCGGGTTTCGTCCCTCAAGACGAGATTTCGAGGGTTCCATCCAGCAAGCATAGGAAGATGAACTGCAGGAGGAGTTCACTTCCTTCAGGATGTTTGGTTCGAAGTTCGAAGCATGACGCACTGGCGACCAGACCATCGGACTGGCGACCAGACCATTGATCCATGATGCCCACCCCAACTGATCAGTAAATATGCCTAGTCTGATGGATTCTGCGAACCATAGAACTTCATAGAGCTTCCCCTATTACAGGACTCCAGTCCTGCCTCCTCAGAAGGTATGACCTGACCATGACACCCACCCCAGTCTCATCTTCGAAGCGACTTGGAGCCATTAGGGTTCCTGAAAATAATCCTGCACACATATACCCTACACCTCCAAGTACCTCATCAGAAGGTATTTGGACCCTCCAAACCCACCCCAAACACCTTCTCAGAAGGTACTTGGATGTGTAGGGATTTGACATATGCTCTACGAACAGGTGAACATGTCCACTTCCGATGGAACATGAAGATCATGTGATGCCCTAGGGCTCCACCCAGCTCAGAAGGTAGGGACAGACCACCCTAATCCACCCCAACAGATCTTCTCAGGAGGTAGGCCAGGAGCGCTAGGGAAGGACTTCACTATTCCACTGAATGTGAGATCGGAGGTAAAGACGTGAGAGGGTGAAGCAGGTCGTAAGAGAGTGAGACGAGAAGTCTATAAACGCGGTAAGTGGTAGTCACAGAAAATTCCATCGAAACGTGTGATCAGGTAGTTCCGGATGATTTCATAAGAGGCTCTGAGTTTTCGGTTTCGCAATTGCTGACATACTCATGATCCAATCAAAACGCGTTGCGATCACCAATCCCCTAGGCAACCCGTTGCAAGCCCTTTGACTGATCAGACTGTGAGTGGATCCCACATTGCAGTCAAACCCGACGACCACGTGGTAGCATCTTTGAGTAGACATGCTGATGAACACAGATGCGTTGTTTCATGTGATTTCTATTGTATGCATGTGTATAGTAAAGTAATTATGGCGAACCTCCGTCTTTTTATTGCACCATTTTCCACACAACAACTGCTTGAGAAACATTGAAACCCAAAGTGGCCCCAAATCCTTTGACCTTCGGAGAGAACAAATTTCTGTTCTGTCGTGTTTTGACTGTTTGCGAAACGGTCAGGATCCCCAGGCACTCCAATTTGCAGCTTTGCAGCAATGGGCCCTGGAGCAAGGTTAGGAGGTGGATGCCTCTTCTGACACTTCTCTTTTGGGGGCACAAGAGAAGTCAATCTCTGGTCCTATATATTTAGCGATATTTAGTGGCCATGGTAACCAGTCCCTCTCTTCTTACACCTAAACACTTGATTAAGCCCTGAAGTAACCTATTGCCTCTGCCTTTGTTGGCTTTGCCCATGTGCCTTTAAACTCACCCAGAAACCCAAAACTGCCGTCGGAAGAAATCTTGTGTTTCATTGAAAGAAACGTCCGAGCATGGATGTCTTTCATGTATCACAAAGAGGCCCAGAAATCCCTTATTCGTAACCACCCTCAGCTTATTTGGTCCATTCCATCCCTAAGCAAAAACGGGAGAACAGCTAGCTGCAACATCGCTTTTGATCCTTCTAAGGAGACGCCGAGGAGATCCTCCTAAAGACAAAGACAATAGTCTTGGAGACCCCACTCCCAGATCCAGATCTTGGGGTGTTCGTCCAGATTAATCATGTGATCTCGGGTGATTTAAGAATTGCGTTGGTGAATCTGCTGTCGCCAGTCTTCGGTAGGCAGGACTGGATTTGGATGAAACATGTGGGGTGTTTGAGGGTGGTCGTTCATGGTTCAAGAGCACTTACAGGAGGTTGCGGTTGCACATTTGAGTTGAACAAGTGTGACAAGGCTGAGAATGGAATCCAAGGTGTTTTATTCTTGTTGTGTCGTTGCAATAAGGAAACCTCTGGACCTTGGTAGCACATTGTTGTCCTTGCAATCACACAGGAAGTGACAATCACATATTAAACTTATGAGACCAAACCAGTCACTTGTTTACTCCCTAGGGCTCCAACCATATCCTCAGAAGGTGGTTAGACCCCCCTGGCACCCACCCCAACCATCTTCTCAGGAGGTGGGCCAGGAGCCCTAGGGACTGTAGATGCAATATTGCACATGTGTCAAAACGTTCGGTGCGACGTGTCGTGGACTCGAAAGAACACCACACCGCCAGTGGACCAACTCAGCTCGTTCTCCGAGCGAACCTACCACGTGAAAAATCTACACCTTATAAAGTAGAGTACAGAACGTCCTACACACAAGACAAAGCACTTGCAACAGCACTCAAAAGCACACCAAACGCATCGCACTCTTTTCTCGCGCACTTGAGCCAAACAAGTAAAGTTCAAAAGGCTTTGGGCATTCGTCGAAGCTGAGGTGGCCGAAGAGCTCAAGGAGGGAAGACCCGCCAAAACCACAAGACCACAGAGTTGGCAGTCAATGGAACCCATGATTTTTCTGCGCAAAGATGGGGCAAATGCAGGTCACCACTCCAGGCAGTCCGGATGGTCTAGGAATGGAGACCCTCACCTACACCTGCCTCCCATTTGCCGGTTTTACCGAGTCAGACCTCCTCCGTTTCGGTTTTCGGTGTTTGGGGTGGGGCTGACACGAGGGTCATTTCGTAGCTTTGAGAAGGTAGAACCTACTACTGTACCAGGTAGGTGATCCAACCTGTATGGTAGCTGAAAGGGACTGTAGCAGCTATTGACAATATAGCGTTCATTTGTGACAGTTCCCAGTTTACATTCTTTGGTGTACTGTTGCGGGGCGATGACATATCACTCGAAAGCCATAAATGAAAAAGCCCAAAGGCCCAAAGACAGTGCTGGAAAAAGTTCATGTTCCAGACCTGCTTGGTAGAAAGGGCCTTCAATCATTTCTTCTTCACAAAGCTTGTGGCTTCAGAAGGTTGGGACGCCCTATTCACCCCAAATTCAATGCATGGGCATCTTCGCTTTAATAGGGAGCCCCTTGCGATCGGACGCCGGGTCGACCGGTCTCTTTAGGACTGAGCCACCACTCCCGATCGGCGTTTGACACCGGTCCGATGTCGTCTCCACCTGGACCTGAAGGACCTAAGGGATGCTTTCCACTCGAAGGTGAAGCATTTCTTAGGGGTTGGCGGAACCGCGCCGCAGGGGCCCATGTTTTCGGGCCAGGGATGAGCCACTGGCTTCCACCCTCGGAGGGCGAGAAAAGATCTCCGATGCTTTGGTTGGGCAGGAGGACCCGGAGATCGTCTACTGGGCTTACCAGCAGGATGAGCCACTGGATTGAAGCGAGTTTGCGAAGACCTGGTCGATCTTTGGAGACTTTGGGGGATCCACATACCCTCTGAGAAGGTGATTGGAGACAATGTTATGTGGGTTTGGAGGGTCCAAGTACCTTCTGAGAAGGTACTTGGATCCCTAGGGAATCAAGCAGGAGATGGTTGGAAAGTGGCTGTTCTTGAGTTAAACAACACTTAACAAAGATCAATGATCCATCTCAAGAAAGGTAGTGCAACTGAACATGTTTTGCGCAGAAATGGAAGAAACATACTCACACATCCCAGAGTTTATCCTCATTGAAGGCTGGAGATTATGTATAGTTTAGTACTGGCGACAGTGGCGGAAGTCTTCATAAGAGTAGGATGCGGAGTGATGCAGAAAAAATGGCTTGCCCCTGGTGGGCCCAGGTGGTGGTTTCGTTCCTCCCTGTGGCGAATGGTGCAGTTTTTCATGGGCCTTAAGGGATGGACATACTGGTTGGCCACGGTTGGGCTGTGGGTCAAAACCCTGGAAAAGTTGATCTCCCTGGTAGTCCATTCTCTTTATTTGTGGTCAACTGGTCGATCCCCGGGTTTTGACCCGCAGTACGATTAGGAGCCACCTGCTCAGAGCGCCTAGCCCTTGTAGTTAAGTCTTCTGATTCTCGGATGATCTCGGATGAATAGGATCCTGCAGTGATTTTTTCTCGATGTGCTAACCTCCTGCTAACCTCTGTCGCCCGTCGTTTTGTGAACGAGATCAGCACGATATATAGCGAGTTGTGCCCTAAAACAACCCAGACTTATGATCCAATTGAGATCGTGACTTGGGGAATGATTTTTGGGTCCAGACTTTTGCAATCCCTGGAGTTTCCCCGAGACGGCGATGATTCCCGCCCGACCCTTATCCGTGGGTTCTCAAGGTGAACATTCCCTGCGAAGTCTCTTCATTCCTTAGGCATGTTCAGCCTAAACCCCAAACCCTAAAATAGTTGGTCCATATATAACATATGGTTTGAACAAGAACTCCTTGATGCCAAGATCACAGACGTGATTGAGACTTGCAGACACGTTTCTCTCAAGTCGTCTTCCATCAGGGGCCAGTCGATGCCCAGCAAATTCATGCAATGTCTATATATGTTTGTTAATTACTGATCACTTTTAAGCAACACATAGTAATAACATGGATAATCAGCTATAGCTTCCAGTTACCACGTCATTCGACCCATGACCATTTGACCCGTTTGACGCTGCACATCATCAATTCGTTAAGCCCACCGAGGCGCGCGGCGGAACAATATGCGACTTGGAAGCGCCACGAGAAAGCGCATGTCTGGAGTGACATGACGTCGTCACCCGTGATCAAGGAGATATGGCGCATATGCATATGCATGGTTTTCCGACCTGATCTTCTGCAGTGCTTTGCGCTTTCGCACTGTTTTAGCCTGCCGTCTCCCATGTTTGGGCCAAAGCTGCTTCACCGAGTCTAGCCACTCACGGGTGGGCCCAGTCAGCACACAGCGGACTCTTGGGGGCAGGTCGAGCGGCTCCACCCAGCCCACGTCCTTCTGGAAGGTGACTAACGGGGTCTCACAGCAGACATGTGACCTGTATATAGATTGGAGGGCATATGGTTTTTGCATGTCAACAAAAAACAGCGGTTGATCTGCTTGAAGCTGCTTCAGATCCTGAAAAAAGAGCCAACAACTATATATAGGGATCGCTTCTGAGAAGGTACGACTGGGGAAGGTTTGGGCGTCCGACCGCCAGATGACCGTGTAACGTGGAGGGATGGCTTTAAGAGCACCAAAGGGTGCTTAACCTGTTTGTTTTCCACTTATTAACGTGGCGTCCAAATGAAGAAATGGTCTATGTTCCCGTATACAAGAAGCCAGTTGGGGGCTATATACAGATGTTGCACCAATAGTTATGTGGAGTAATGATTTGTACGAAAAGATAGTAGTTTCTTGATTTTCTGAATTTGTGTGTGTTTCCTTTTTCGGGTGCATTCACTCAACCAGGCAGGTGCAGAATCGAACTATGGGTGCTGTTGAAGCCTGGCCAAAGTGATGTAGTATATGCTCCAATATATGAGATATGTAGTCTATTTGATGCAAACACTATATGACCCAAGGTATAGCCTCCCCTCGCTCAGCTTCACTTGCCCCACCCAGCACTGGGCTCCGCTGTGTTCACACCACCGAGGCCAGTGCTTCCGTCTTCGCAGAGCGTAGCTTTGCACTGGCGGCGGCTGGAGTGAAGGCTGGCGACCCAGAAATCTACGTGGATAACCTGTAGTGAATGGAGAGTAGATGGCACAATCCCTAAGTTTTTGGTGCTTTATATGGACCTCCCCCATCTAAGGGACACCCCACTAAACAAGAAGAGGTCGAAAGTTTGAACCTGTGTCAACCCTTTTTCTCCTGGGAAACTGGAAAGCTTGGGAGTCAGGCTGTTGCCGGGTGACAGGTCTGCGCTTGTGTGTGCATCTTGTCAGCTGACTGGTTCGTTTAGGGCAGATTTGCTGGCTGTTTGATCTCATGAATCAACAATTCCTGGATAAAACCAAACCCATCAAAAGGATTCAAGCGGGAAATCCAAGAAATAGAAAGTCTGCAGAGGTTGAGTGCAGGTTTAGTGGGACCTCAGGCTGACTTCGGGTCAATCCTGTTTCAAAGCGACAACCTGAGAAACTCGTCACTTACCATTACATTACATCACTCACAACCTCACCTTTTTAAGAGGCTAATTATAGACTCTTTAGTATTGTTATAACCTGGAAAACTGTTTCATTCTTATCAATCCCGGATCCACATACCGAACCTGAGGTACGGTGAGGACGTGTTCGACGTTATGTCGGCGCCAGGAGGGTCCAGTCGGAACTCCTTCGCTTCGCTTCGGGAAGGTGCCGATCCATAGGGAAAGCCTAGACATAAGAGATTGGATCCAGCCACCCAATGGCACCAATGGCACCCAAGGCACCAACTGGATCCTTATGTCTTGTGGCTGGATCCATAAGGGAAGTTTCGCCCCCAATAGAGATTGGATCCAGCCACCCTCATTCCCTGCTTTCGACGCACCAGTCAGTTCTTAGAAAAAAAAAGAGTGACAATTCGATGCATTCCATGCGGATCCCTGAAGACCTGACCGCAAGAGCTCTGCTTTGGCGCTCCCGTCAGGTGCCGCCCGAGTGGGTCCTCGCATGAGCGGGGGAAGCACGGCCCAAATCAACGTAGGCAGGAGGTGGCCTGCATTTGGTGGCTGGGGGTGGGTGTTTGAAGTGGTTGACGGAGCTGTAGTTCCAGGTCTACCGGGCTTCCAAACGGATCCATACTATTCCAAAGCGCTTGGGCACTCGGATGTTGCGCTCTATAGCACTCGTACTTTGACTGCTTCACGACATAGCCCCACACGAGCCGGGCCCGAGATGGAAACGTTGCACAGGGCCCGAGCGGTTGGGCAGTTCGGCCCCAGGAAGACCATGACATCCGAAGACCGAACAGGGAACTCCACGTCCATGGAACGTGAGAGGGAGAGGTACTAGAATGTAGCAGATCTTACTGAAAAAGGCAAAGAAAAGAACTCATCGCCAGGTTCACATACAGCAACTTTCCTCCCTCAGAGATAGGAACCTAGGGGGGTTCCGGCTAGCTCTCAAGTACGTATGTTTTCGTACTATCCAGAAGAAGCCCTCCTTTGGGTCATAATTACCAAGCAGCACATTTTTGGACCCTGAAGAAACGACCAGTTCCTCACCAGTTCTGCTCTTGGACTCGGATCACCACTGACGTGGGAGAAGGAGACATCCCTGTCAGAACTCTTTGCCCCAAGTTGCTTGAAGAGTTCGAGCTAGACGTCGTAGATCCCCGCTCAGCAGGATGCAGGTCGTAACTTATTTCGCGCGTTCCGATCCAGGGGGGATGTGGACTTTGCCACGCCCATCGAAAGAGAGACACTTTTCCGGGTGAACAAAGTATGCCCTCAGTAGACAGTGGACTGCTGCAAAGCTGAAGTAGTTTGGTATCTATGGCTAGCTAACCCTGCAGATTTTTGAGGATGGTTGCGAATGGTTGCTTGTGATGTCCAATGGATGGACGAGAGCAGGACCTTTGCTACTGTTGTAGAGTGGACACAGCCACCAATATGACTGAGTGATTGTCATAGTTATATATTGGCCCTTCACCACCCCTACCGCCGTCATCAACCTGGTTGCTCTCTTTTACCCAACCCTACCAAGCCCTGCTAAACTCAGCTGAAATCGCTGCTGTCCGCAAATGTTGTCGAAGATGGCCATATCTTCCCTGGTTTTGTTCCTACAATCGCTTGTGTCAATCTTTAACTTCTTTGCGGGCTAGGTCTCCTGTTATTCAAGTTAACCTGGTGTTCTATGGAAACTGCACGGGGTCAGCTACACTCTTCAGGACGGTTCCTCCCCAAGAGAAGCAAAGCGCAGCGAGCTGCTTCGCGGGCTCTCTGTCCGGCAGATTCGTCAGACTGCCGTGCTGTACAGATGAACGGTGGTCTGCCAACTCTGACATGTTCCTGAGACTACGGTCGGCCAAGTGTGCTGTCAGCGTTCTCCGGTTTTGGGTTTAAGAGATGTTAAGCCTTGGGTTGGTTCTTCTTTGAGTCAGCTGTTTTGCAAGCAGCTTCAGAGACTTCTTGGTTCAGACACTCAGTGTATGCAAAGATGTGAGTCCAAACGAACATCAACCCCCAAGTCCCACGGAGGAGCAAATCCAGAGGTGTTTTCAGGTCATCCATGCTGACGTCCATATCAAACATATCTGAACACCTTAAAGCTTATCAGTATGAAGAATGCATCTATGCTCACGAACCTTTGGGTGGATCCTTCCATCCTTCAGGATCGACCCTTCAAGTCGGAGAGTCATTCTGAAAGGAACCTCATACACCCGCCAACGCGACGCGACCAGCCAACGCTGCCGGACATGAATCGATGCATGCCACGTCGTCGTCCCGTCCAACGGAAGCGGCGGAGTTGCGTTTGAAAAGACGATGCGGTGCCGCAACAGAGCACGCGGAACTCGCCGGGCACGGAGGGGCTGGGGTCGGAATCCAGGATCATGAGCATATATAGATACAAGAGACTGTTGGTCGTTGCCGACGAGACCCGATAGAAGGTTGAAAGTCGTCCTCATTGGCAATGTCCCATGGTGCTTGAGGTCTTCCACTTTCTAGATAATTATACATAGATAATTCTATATATATATATATATCTATACCCGAGAAAAACTTGTAACATAAGAATAGTCGTTGGGGCATGTTCCAATCTAAACTGGTCTCCCAATGATACCCTGTTCACCCTATCTTTTCCACATGACTCCAAGACTGCTGACACTTTGATGGTTTGTGCCATTTTGTGCTTAGTTGTGCCCCGGCACTTTCTTAAGCTCCTAGGAGAAATCAATCTAGCTGAAGAATGTCCAGGTGACATCACCAATCACTGACTGGTGCACGGCAACCCTAAATGTGGAACATGGGAAGGATGCCATAACCAAGCACACATCTCATGTACCATGCGTCGCCCAATTTGACCTCTACATTGGGAGGAATCAAACGTTCAAACTCCATTTGCCGGCCTGGTTCCTTTTATGACTTAGCCAGTTCACCCAGTTCACTCATAGTCACCTCACCTACACCTACACCACCACCCCACCCACCCTACCCACCCCAACCGGACGGGGTCGTTTGGAGCGGGCAGATCCTCCACTTCGCGCCAACCGAGGTCGGCAGAAAACACCACCTAAAGCGCTCCACGTCCGTCGTCACAGAGCTCAGGTCTCAGATCTCGGGACGGCTCGACGCGCTCCATAGCGTGTTGGCGAACCATGGAGCACGACTGCTGGAAGGCGCTGGGTGTCGAGCGGTGTGTCCAGCGGGGGGTGTCGGAAGAGTTTGGGCGACGGAGGATTCAAGGTCCAAGTCCAAGTGAATCGAAGACCAAAAGACTCAGTTTGGCTTAATCATTGCACCCAGTTCGGTTTGATTATTGGTGATCCGTGATCAGCCTTCTTCCACCCTCTAGGGTTGAAAACCACACCGATCTGGGTCTCCTGGTAGCTAGCCTACTTGCATCAAGTTCTTATTCAAGCAGAAGTTCATTGTTGTTACTGTTTCTCCACTACTTGATAGTTGCGCACATTTGTATATAGTAGTGTAATTAGTTGTCAAGTACGTACTTGGAAACCCTCCATAGCTGCTCACCTGCCTCCATGCTGCGGCATGACCTCCTTGGTGGACGGCCTCCCACCGAAACCCTTCGGTTCTTCTCTCAGGAGAAGCCCACCTCCAGGCGGGCCACTGGGTATCGGGGGGGCAGTGGATTCAGATGATCGACAGGTGCGACCAAAGTTTGGAATGAGGCTGATTTTCTGACTAGAGATTAAAACATGATTGTTCTCTCACCTGAGAAAGAAGTCATTCATTTACTCATTATACAATTCACTTCCAGGATCAAGCCACCCACAGTCAGATGAGATGGCTGGGAGATCCTCTGGCCATCTCACTGGCCATCTCAGTGGGTGGCGAGATCGCCGTTCGGGAGTGAGGAAGGTACTTGGGATCCAGGAAGATCTAGGAAGATGTGCCAAGTCCCAGTGGAAGGTCCTTTGCCCGGACATGTTTTAAACTCACTGGTGAACCGCCCCGGCATCCAAGGGATCCTGTTTCCTCAAACAGGCGCGGCAATCTATGCATGTGCATTTGATACAATTTTAAAAATTATTCCAGGACCTTCAAAGTGACCTTTTCATCTCTTTGTTGACCTTTTCACGGGCCTATATTGACGTTCAAAGAGACCTTTATTGACCAGACATCAAAAGGTCACGGTCCCGGTGTATAATTTGTTCTTTGGTCAACTTTGGTTCCATTTTTGCTCTTGTTTTTGTGTTGTTGTTGTATATATGTTTCACTCCACTTTGTTTCCCTCTCTCTCTCTCTCACTCTTTCTCACCCCTTGTTGCTTTTGTGCATGTTTACACACATCATGTGATCGCTTTTACAGATGAGAAGCATGTTCTTGCAAAGTGTTTCTTGGGCAAACGCAATATATGTATTATTCCTTAATTATGTTTAGCTCTGATGCATTTCACCGCAATCCAAATTTGATGCTGATAGAAGCTCTGCAGCTTGGAGCTTCCATTCAAGGTAAACAGTGGGGGAGCCGTGGTGTGCCAACCCAATCTCCTCCTTCTAAACCATTGGGGGGCTGTACTGGGTGGATAAAATCCATGGGGTTTGACCCAAGACTTTTTATTCGGGTGCCGGCCTTTGAGCTACCTAACAAGGAGTTTTTTTCCCGTTAAAATAATCCACCCAAGTAAGAAGTATATACAATATATATATATATATATATATTGGTGTTTTACTTTTTTTCTCTTGCTGGTTAACGCAAAAGAAACGAAAAGATGGAATAGAAAAGAAGAACGGGCCAAGTCGGGACCCGTCACTATCCAATCACAGGTGGATGTTTAGAAATCTTGGCTAGATTTGGCTACGGTTTCACTTTGCGGTTGGTGGCTTCATTGATTTTGCCACGGATATCAAGAAAAGAAAAGAGAAAAGAACGGAAAAGAAAGAGAGAGAGAGAGAGAGAGCAGAGATTTCTAGCCAGCTTTTTGCAAGATTTTTCCGAGCTCCTCAGCTCCATTGATGTACAGATGTAGACAGATAAGAAAGTAACAGCAATACCAAGATCGAGTAGAAACAGACATGTGTCAGACATGTTTCTTTTGCAGGATGCCAGAAAATATGGAAAATCAAGACATGTGAGGGATCTTGATGTTGTACAGGTGCCTACGTGCGCACACATTCCATGGTACTGCGATGTCTTCAAGCTTGTTGGCAATCTTGTTTGGCCAAGCTTGTTGGAATCCTTGTAGCCAAGTCCAATGCGCATCAACATGTGCATCCTTAAAAAAGAAAACGATTGGATATTTTCCCTGGTGCTGAGGTTGGAGATATAAAATGACAACGTCTGGCATATGCTATAAAGTAATCTACTTCTGCTAGGTCTGGGGAGCTTTCCAGAATAGAAATTGTTCAATGGCAGTGAACCTTGAACAAGAAGGTGCGCATAGACAGGACAGCTTTACAGCAGGTCCAAGCTGGAATGCTGCAATTCTGTGGTCATTGATGGCTAGCAAAGGGGCTTCTTCTTGTGATTTGCGTTCATGTTTGATCGCAACCCCCTGGCCATGGTCAAAGGAACTACGAACAAGGTTATGGTCAATGCTGCCCTTTTTGTAATGGATAAAGACAGATTGCAACGTAATTATATATATACATATAATTACATATATGATCCTGTCTATTTTCGTGTGAAGGGATATGCAGCCATGGCCATCGACAAGTATGAACTGCGCCGCGACAGCAATATGGACTGCCTGCACATTTCCATGAGGGCACAGTTGCAGGCAGATGCCATGGATCATGAGACGGTCAAGGCCCTCCTGCAGATCAAGAGGGGCAACGGCCTCCTCAGGCGAGCCTCAGAGCAAGGGAAGGCCAAGGCCTTTGCCAAATCAGTTAAGCCGCCTGCCATGGCGGCAAGACAATTCATGGACCCCATGTCCATGCGCAGGTCGGTGGCCGGAGGATTCAAACGTTAGCGTCTTCCTCTTGGAGAACATGCAAGGAAAGCGATGAGCCATTTGCCTTCTGCTATGTGAAGGACCACCAGCCCCCAAAACCCAAAGTGGGCTGGCACCTGGACCCTGGACCTCTATCTGTCTATGGCTGGCTCGATTCTCAGTGCTGCCAGGTGTGTCACATGAGCCACGGAATGAGATCAGCCTGAACAGGCTGGCTGCGAGCACAAGCTGCTGTGAGCATGGCACAGTAACAGGCACTGGATCTGATCGACCCAAAAAGCTCTGCTCCCAGACTCCAAAAAACATTCCTTTACTTCAAGTGATCCCAACTGTGGCAAACAGTTTGGTGCAGTTTACGTTGGGACAAAGACCTCCTATGTTCTTTTCTTACTGGCATTCTGCTCTGACATTCAACCTGATATTCTTGCTGGATCCCCAACTACCTTAAATGAAAAACCTCGGGGTCAACATCTACTAGGTCGGGTGCTGGAGACGCCTGAGAAGTGCAGGGGAGAGTGGTGCAGAGGTGATGGAGAAGAGGTGCTGGAGAAAAGGAGAGGAGAGGAGAGGAGAGGAGAGGAGAGGAGAGGAGAGGAGAG